CATTAAGAAGAAAAAAATCTGGGCAATTAAGTTTCAAGAAAAAAAACCCTCAATCGTAAAGAATAATAAATATTATAATAGGTTATTCGTTATCCCCCTACTGAAAAGTAGGGGGCACTTGTCTTAAATTGAATGTTATTCGGGCAATTATTACTATTAATAATAATAATAAAAATAGTAATATATTTTTATTTCGGAAGGTAATAATCTATTTTCATTTCACGTCAAAGGTGATCCAGTTTTGGCATCTAATTTTCTATACGATATTTCGATAAAAATTAACTATAAATAAATAATAAAAATACATAATATACTCAGCATTAAGCAAAATGTCATTGCAAGAAAACATCAAGTCAGTTGCACACTATACCTTCAGCCTCCCACCCCGCCCTAAGAAATTTCCTGGGTGTGCCTCAATTTAAAGGCAATTGAAATCTTTGCACTAATGATATGTTATCTACCTTCGCAAATGTAACCATCTCTCTAAAGTTTATTGTTTTATTTGTCGCACTACAACTGGCAAAGATACAAGACTAATAAAGGATTTATTGATTATCAATCATTACTTTGTCAAAAGCTTATTCATAATACACATTCTTTGGACATTTTTACAGCGAAAAACGACCTTTACCTGAAATTACAACCCGATAGCATATCTTAAACGTGGCATTTAGTTAATTAAGGTTCATAAACGATATCATCCCAAGCCACTCAGCACTTGCAAGAAATCTGTCAGGATGTTCAGGTTCATCTCCCTGTTCTGCCTTGTGATAGGCGCTCTGGGTAAGTTTTTATGCAGCGCTGGTGATAGAGTGCAATGTTGGTTACATGTGAATAGGGGTGATTGATTAACGAACATTATCTCCTCTAATGCTATGTTCATATATTGAAGTATTTATTCTTGTTCCACTGGTCTTTTGGTTTAGTCATTTATTCTTAAAATTAAGAATACATTTTTTTAAGGTGTAGACGTTTCTTCGATTCTCCAATATGTCTCTTGTTTTTTTTATAGTAATTAAACTATTAACATCCCTTTTATTCCTTTCCTTGTAATGAAAACCTTTTTACGCATATATGTTTTAGATGAAATTTTCGTTTCTCGTTCGGATGAATGAGTTATATTGATTACAAGTTTCTTAGATAAGTTATGGTTAGTACATTTCTTTTATTTATTTCAAACATTTTCATATTTTACGACATTCAGTTTACACTCCAGATTTATATTGTTAGCTTAAAATAACCAGCTCAATCTTAATATCTTAATTCTAAATATTCCCTTGTCTGATTTTTGCTAGTTAGTTTCAATTCAATGCATAATTTTTGGCGCTCCATACTTAGCGTCTTCAACATAATGGACACAGACATAAATATATCAAAAATAATTACTAAACAATCAACAGAAATGAAGTAGTTCACGAAAACTTTGATGCAACAATGTCAATCTCGTTTCGGTCATAGATCTCAGGGATATGTTGTTTTATCTGTCATAAGTCTTATAACTAACGCAGTCGCTTCTTTTAGTGGGGTTTGATGTTCTTTTTTCGAATAGTGGGGATTGGCCAGACAAGAAAATCTATGCTTGCTCGCTAGCGGATTGTTTCAATTAGCGGACCAAGTTTCAATTTCTAACTTCGGCCAGTTTTATTTCTTTTATCGAATGGCAGGGATTGATTCACGCGTAATTATTATTCCTACAAGTTATTACATTTTTTGTTCTTCGAAAAATACGTTATTCTGACCATTAAATAGCATCCTCTTTTACTATGTAAAACATTTTCGGTTTTCTTTTTTCTAAGACATCTTATTTTTCTCAATATCTCCAGCAAAAGTATTATCATCTCTTATGTATTCAATATAGAGTGCACTTTAAACGTTTTATCACATTAATAATTTTAAAGATTTAGTTTCTGTATTCAATACCTTGTGACTCAGTGTTATCACATTTATAAAATTTAGTGATTTATTTGAAAGAAGAACCGGCCGTCACATTAACGTCGACTGCTTAAAGCGTAGCTTTTATCAACAATATTATTATCTACAGCTTCTATCTTCAATAGGTAGAAGGTATCTCTACATGACATTTTCAAAACTAATCGCTTACAATTTCCCTGATTTGGGGTTTCTTAATATTTTTTTATAAAAATGGAAATTAGTGGTCCCTGTAGTTGATGAATTGCGGTATGTAAAAACACAACTGTATTTTGTAAATGATCGTTCTTAAAATACCTAACAATCTCTGCTATTTTGTTTTAGGGAGATCTTATGGCGAGAGAATTGCCAATAAAATGACTTTCAATACTTCATGACCAATAAACTTTTTACATTTAATTCAGATTTAGGAGATGCAAAATTTAAAAGTTCATTCAAATCCAAAATCGATAGATCCAGGTGTAATTCAGACCCAATGCGACTAATTAGTTTGATCGAATATTATTCTAGCAAACAAGAGTCAACCACTGCATTCAAATCCTATATATTCATGACTCAATTCAATTGTTGCATGACATTGTTGCAATTGCTCTTGTGGCATAAACCCCATCATGTCCGCTCTTGATTATATTTCAGTAGAAATAATAATCTCAATTATTTTTTACCCGCTTCCGCAAAAAATGGCAATTTTAGCTCGAAATTATACCCACAGTTAGGGGTGGGCATGAGGGATTTGTGTACCAGTCGAATATAAGTTACAGTGTGTGATTAACATATCTCAAAATCTGTAAAAGATGGACATGGGGGGTCTTTCCGCTGATCGATTCAATTGTAATTGAGTGCCAGAACTGATTTCAGGAGACCCTGTTCCCGCTGTGCCCCATCTCGACGGACGGATCGTGGGAGGATCTCCGGGGACCATCGAGCAATTTCCGTATCAGGTAACAAGATCAGCACCGCTTCATTTCCTTACCATTTAAGTCTGCGAGGAAGCAGTGAGAATTTTCGTGATCCAAACTCTCACATTTGTTGGATGGTGTCTCTTGAAAATTTCGGAAGACGCCCTACATAATATTCCTAAATACGATTATTCCTCATTTTTCTCCTCTTTTAAGCTGACATGTTTGGAAACTGATACAACATACTACTCTCCATATCATTTGGCATTGCTGTAAACGATTCAACTTGTGTGGTATAGAGCAGTGGGGCTTCGAAATGGCACAGATTTTGTCGTATTAGTTTCATTTTGTCTGGAACAGCTCTTCAGTCATGCCCCATTCTATTGCCAGCTACCGCATCTATCGCCTCCCAAAAACATATTTTCAAAGTTTTCTCAATTTTTCGGTTTCGTAATGCTAGAACCGATATAATACTTTAAGAATGTGAAGGGAAAAAACCTCGTCCTACATGGCAATTTCTATTGAAACATTTAGAACCGTTTTCAAGAAAACGACGTTTAAGCGCTACTGGAAAAGCGAAATTGGAAGCTCTTTTTTACAGAAAGGTTGTGAGTTTTCAAAAAACTATATTTGAAGTAATTCAAAGAATTTTAACTCAAATTCAATAGTAGAGCACATTTGGCAATACCACTTTCAAAAATTAAAGAAAAACTTTAGGAACGGAGCCGTTTTCGAGAATATCCTGTTTTTGTTATTTTTACAAATTGCACATATTACACGCAATATTGCGCAAAAAATACTAAAAGTTAAAAAAAATGTTCAAGATATTAAAGAACTAATTATGGAGAACAAATTTGATTTGAAAGAAAAAGCTCTATCTTCAATATTTTAGCTGTGGGAAGTTGCCGAAATAAACTTCTCAAAATTTTAAAAATTCAGAGTAGCCTTGAAACTTGGACATATGCCACCTTTATAGGTGTGTATTACACTAGTCTTACAATAAATTTAAAGAAAAAGTTTTAAGCTATTTTTGAAAAAAAATGAAAATGTACCTGGATCTTCATGAAAAATATCCAAAAATAGTAATGAATGTTTTTCAAAATCGCAGAGCTTCGACTCAGACGAAAGCGAGAATTTGGAATGAGTTGCATTTAAAAAAATGTACTCATCAGATTGGTACAGCATTTTAAAATTCTTTAAAGTATGACCCTTGTGCTTCGATACATTTTCACCAGTGTGATTTTCTCGTCTTTTACGCTCCCAGAAGTCCTCGGCGAAGATGTCCTACAGAGCTCGCGTCGCACTTGTTTCGATGATGTCCAAAGTTTTGAAATGTGTTTTTTTCATTATCCTAATCGGCCGAGGGAACGAAAAGACGTCCGCTGGAGCAAGACCGGGACTATTGGCATAATCGGCGGCGAAAACAAGTGATATTAAGATGAAACGTCTCAAAAATTTCCACTGGAGTCTGTTCTGCTTCACGATAAACTAGATCGGGTATATTTCATCCAAAGATTTCTCCACTATAAGTACGACACGACTTCTACCCAGAAGCTCACAAACGTTCACTGTCTAACCTCCTTAGAGCACGGAGACAACTGAACTAGGAACTGTTGAAGGGCTAAATGTCCTCTTAGTCTATCCAAACTAATCTGACTGTTCTGTGATAGTGGCTTTGATGTAATGTTTGAGCAAATACCTTGTAATTGACTTATACCGCAATAACGACGGCAATATCTTAATAGGCACAACGTTTTTATTACAGAGATTAAATAAATTAGGATTATCACAATTTCGTTCCGTCTCATTCTATTTTTAAAGGCCAAAGAAAATACTGAAATATTTTATATGTATGTTTTGTATATCAGCGTTTAGTGGTATACGTGTGTAAACCACTAATTTTTGTCCAAAATTGATACTGCCAAATATAAAGCATCTACGTGAAATTAGTTTACTTATCGTAAACTATGTCCTGAATTTAATTTGTATGTGTTAATGGTTTAGAATACTTATGAACTTTCGTAAATTTGGATTTGTTTTGAAATAATGAGAAATAGTTTTTTAATTATACAACTAAACGTATTTACAATACGAATACATAACATCAAACAGTGAGTTGGAATATTCTGATTTGGTAAATTAATGTGGTACAATTTCTAATTTTTTTTACAGGTGTCATTACAGTATGGCGGAGTTCACAATTGCGGTGGCTCAATCATCAGCGAAAAATATGTTGTGACAGCAGCACACTGCGTGTTCGGGTGAATATTGCAACTTTTTTATCATTCGTTACAAAGAACTACTTCGGAATATTTTCTCATTCAAACAGTTTTTATATTTTAAACTCAACACTTACCTCTCCTGCATTAAATACACTATAATGTATAAAACTGCATTTGAGATCTCAGAAAACTTTTGGGAAAGGATCAAATTATTAATTGTAGAGTTTTTGTTAGGCCATTTTCCAAATAAACAAGACAATAGATCTTATCTATGTCCACTTATTTTAGTGAAGAAACACAATAAGTTCATTTTACCAGCGTTCATAAATTAACGTCTCATAGTTTCACTGCAATTGTAGAATTTAAATGAATATTTATCTGTAGGAATAAAGTACATTCTTTAATACAAACAACAAAATAAAACATGACTTCCAATGCTTTTTTGAATATATCTGACTCAACCTGCATACTCACTTTACCCTACACGACGTCAATAACCTTAAACGACGTAAAAATAGATAAAAGAAACGAGATAACCACCTGCAACCTGCGCTAATCCTATTTATTACCACACATTTACAACATCACACTTCTAACTAAAGATGTTGGCTTTTGAATCGCTGCTCCAAATCGCACGTGGCGTTCAACATGTGCTCGTGCTCATAGCCGTACAAGAAAATGTTCTTGCCGCCTTATATCGCTTCCTGTGTTTATATCCGTATCTCCACCAAAACGCAACACATCTTGTACCATTACCGGGAAATGGACTAAATTGTGAAAAATAAGGAAAGAGTGTAGGTATAAAGTATACCTACGCACTTCTCCTTCAAAATTTCCTCCAAAATTAAGGTGCGTCATTTTAGAAATTAATATAAAATTGTCCAGAGTTTGATCTAAAATTCCCGCCAGTGTTGAAAAATGGCCGTAAATTCGATGCCGGGGGAAACCTATTTCTATATAGCAACATTGGATTCAACTGGCAACAGCAGTACACTGATTTGACAAACATGAGTTGTGGGGATTCACAAGCTTGCTTACACTGTCTCTCTCCCGCCCGACCATCACAAACCCGGAACACAGTTGGGCCTACGATGCGACATTGCAATCAATAATGTCGGTGGACTTGAATTGAAAGTGATTTGCGTTATCGGTAATAATACAATATTTTTGTTAGTAGCTAGTTTCGAAATGTAAGAAAATAAAAGGTATTCATACGATGCGGGCTATAAATTGAAAGTAATAGTATATGCAGAACAACATTGAAACAAAGCAACTGAGCGGCATTTCAGCTCTCCATCAACAGAAAGAAACATTCGCTATTGGTGGGCTAGTAAAGAAGAAATGAAAAAATGAGGAAGACTAAATGTAAAAATAGAGGTCAGAATAAAAATGGCCAAAACTAGAAGATGACGTATTGAACTGGATTCAAGAACACCGTGAAAATCGCCCTGTAATAAATAAAAAGATGATTCAAATTTACACTCGTAAGCTAGCACTAAACTGAAACTTAACAAACTTTAAGGGTGGAGTTGTTTGGATTTATGAAGCGTCATGGCATTAGCATGCGAACTCATAAATGTGCTGACGGTACTAAAATTAATCCAAAGATCACTATCAAGCGCAAAACTATACCAAAACCTCGTGATATACCAACAGATGTTGTTCACGTACATGACAAGGATTCTATGGACGAAGCTACTATGAAATTATGGATTAACAGTGGGGGAGAACGGGAAATATGTTTTATTGAAGAAGAAATCTCTTCTTGTACTAAATCAGTTTAGTAATCATTTCAAAATTTCTGCGAAAGAGAAATTGTGACCGTGAAATAAAGAGCTTGCTGTTATTTCGGGAGGTCTTACTTCGTAATTGCAACCTCTTGATCACTCAATATATAAACTATATATGAGAGAATATGAGAATGGAAAGGAACGGAACAAATGGACGATGAATGAAACACCACATGAATTCACGCAGAAGAAGCTTTAAAACGACCTACAATCAAACTAGTGTGTCAATGGATAAAGCATTGGTGGTCTAGATTGTTAAATGTTTCAAGAAGTGCGGCATAAGTAACGTTCTCGATGGCAGTGAAGACCATCTTCTATATGAATAAGAAGAAAAGGACGACGACAAAGAATGGTTTAAGAAGTTAGAAAGGTCATATCGGTTTGGTCTGACTTTGCAATATAATCATAAAAATGGTAAAACTGTTATTTTTTTCAAACAATTCCTTAAAAGTTAGGGCGGGTCTTATGGTCCTTAAAATACAGTAAATTCGAATCCTACTCTGAAACTAGCCATACACTCATCAAATTATAAAAACTTGTACTTTCATGTGGCACATTTTCATTTAAAATCGCACTTTATATTATGAAACATAATACACAAAAAAGGAATGTTCCCAGGTCCGTTGCTGGGTACACCGTGCGTGCTGGATCTTCCTACCATGCATCAGGGGGCACCGTCCACGCCGTGTACTCCATCGCTCGGCATGCGAGGTTCAATGAGGAGACAGACTATGACAGTGACGTCGCCCTCATTCGAGTAAGTAAATACAAATCTTGGCCTGCTGGCATTTGCTATGACTTTTTCAGAAAGTATTACGGAATTTATGTTTATTCCGACTCCATAGTGTCCCGAAAATTAGCTACTTGTAACCTAAATTCCATCACAATGTAAAAACGAAATCAATTCACATATGAAGAATTGGGTGGAAGGGACACTTTAACCTGCGTTAAGACATACTTTCTTTTCGTGTCTTATATTGCTCTTTAGACTTCCATTTATGCCCAAAATTTTCTACAAGTTTAAGTAAATAATTAAAACTGAGAATTATGAGTTTTCCAGAGAGTAAGATTTCTTGCATATGTCGAGGTCTATGATCCATACAATTCTGTACGTGTGATGAAAACTACTTTTGCTTCAAAACGTTCTGTTGAAGGCATTCATTGTTTGTTGCTCTTTCAATCCGTTACTGTTATTTTACTTTAAGAGTTATACATTTGTTTTTTAATGGTACTTATAGAGAAAAAAGTCAAGCCGTAATAAATATTGTCCAAGACAACACGAAAAGATGTGGTGAGTAAGCAACGTACTCTGTAAACTCGTTTTCAATTCAATTCAATTTGGTGTAAATTTGTATACAATAGGTACGAAAGTAAACATTTCTTTCATTTTTTAAATCATATGCCAATCCTCAAAAGTGTATGTCATATAACTCAATTAAAATTTGTCTCCAAAACTACGTTTTGAAAGAAAATATCGAAAGAATTAAATACATGGAAAAATGGCTTCTGACACTTGTATAAATTATTTATTTTGTAAATACATTAACGATACACGTTATTTAAATAAAAAAGTAACGCGATACCTATGAAATTAACAAAATAATGCATATACAGTCTACCTACCGATGAAGAAAATAAAGTAAAATCACATGCGAAAATATCACACATTTTTCTCGAAATTCTAGTTTTGAAGTTAAGCCAAATAGCGAATAAGGACGCTACTTCACTGCCAATTGATACGCCGAGTAACTCCATACATTTCGGTATCTAAGCAAACTATAAACAGAGAGTCCGTTTTGATTTTGAAACTAGGTTAGTCTAGGATTTCAACAATTTAAAAATAATATTGTAAGATACGTAATAAACAGAGTTCAAATTCTCTGCGACGTCAAACGTCCCATTGCAATTACGATGCAGATGTACTTTTAGTAATGTAACAATTTTGAGTTTGAAGTGCACAGAAACCTATTTATTTTCTTCTATTTTATTGCAGTTAACTTCTTCTAAAATATCTTAGTGCAAAATAAAAGACTTTTTTTAATGTGTCAAAAATGGTTAACATTAAATTGTATTAGGAAATTGTCTGAAGTGTAATAAAAATTCCGTGTGCTACAGATTGTCGATACATTTCAATTTGGCCCAACTGTGCAGCCTATAAAACTGCCTCCTGCGGGTTTCGAGCCTGAAGAAGGAACGATAGCTGTTGTCAGTGGCTGGGGCAATCTCAACGTAAGCATACACATTTATTAGACATTTTATTATTTTTGGGAATAAACAGTATTAATACTTTTTTGAAACAATAGTGTCCAAAGACGTCTTATAACCCTCACATAGATGTGCCGCAAATTATATCCTAAATGAGAAGTAACTTTTCGAATACATCTTGGTTTTTAGGTAATTCGAAATTCGTTTTATGACGAATTTCTGTTCCTCTGAAAAGAAGCCCAAAGAAAATAAGTACTAAAAGTATTTTTCAATACTTTCTAAACTTACTTTAAAACTGTATTCTGAAAAATAATTAATCTGTAAAAAGTTAACATTTCATACTATGACAACAATTTAAATAGTCGGATTCATACAATAACAACTTCAAAAATGGTATAACTATATTTGCATGCAGTAAAAAGTTCTTTAAGTAAATAATAATATAATTATAATACACATAAAATGGATTTTTCAGGAAGGTAACAGCAATGCTCCAGCACAACTGCAATATGTTGAAGTTCCCATCGTGAATATCCACGCGTGCAATTTTTACTATTTAGGCCTCATAACGGAAACAATGGTGTGCGCTGGAGTCACAGAGGGCGGTCGTGACGCATGCCAAGTAAGTGCTAGATCAGTTATATACTCATCATGTGCTTGTGTGTGCGTATGTGTGAATATCTCTCAGTTGCTTACATTATTAAAATCTTTTACACATCAAACTTTGGCACGTCAAAGTTTTGTCCGTCAAACTTTTGCACCTCAAACATTTGCACGTCAAAATTCTTCATGTCAAACTTCCTTTCTAAAATCTTAAAAGTAGTGCTCGTACGGGCTACAGTTGTAGCCCAACCGACCTTAAACTTGTCCATGATAAAATGCATGTAAAAAATGCTCGGAAACAAAGTCTGTGGTAAGAGTTACTTGTCATCCGAAGATACTTATGCTCCCACCAGTGGAGTGATAGAATTAAAGGCATTTAAAAATCCGTAATTATGAAAATCAAATAAATGTAACTCCTGGAATGGCATTTTTTAAATACTACATGTTACGTAATGTCCGGTGTATAATTTATTTATTATGATTCGTAATTGAACTCGTGAATCATTTCAAATTAAATGTAGACATTAAATTTAACAGTAAGTTTATCTCTAACGACATTCAAATTAAAATCTAGTCACTTCTCTCCGACTACATTTTTGGTATTTTAAGATTCATTGTCTATGTAATTGTAATATTCCTTGCATGGGTAAAAAATGTGTGATATTTATCGTCTGTGTACTATATTTTCGTGTTAAACATTCTAGCTTACTCCCTTTTCCAGTTGTTTTATCGTTTGATATCGTTATTAAATTCTCTATGTAGTAATTGTATGTACTATGTATAAAAATATGTAATATTTATCGTCTGTGTACTATATTTTCGTGTTAAACATTCTAGCTTACTCCCTTTGCAAGACGTTTCATCGTTTGCACTAATTGTTGCCCGCTTGCAGGGGGACTCCGGCGGCCCTCTGGTCATCGACGACGTCCTGGTCGGCGTCGTGTCTTGGGGCTACGGGTGCGCCCGCCCGCAGTTCCCGGGCGTTTACGCGAGCGCGGGCTATTTCCGGTCGTGGATCAATGCCAACATTGTCAAGTAGAACCGAAATAATTTGAGCAAAGTCAGAAGATATTTCGAATTTTATAGTTTTCATGTACATTCCAAAATACACACATTTGAATGAAATTGTAATCATTCTCTGATTTATCAAAACTTCTCTTCGATGAGATCAAAAAGTAATTGAGATGTGTTTTGCTTAATTTCATTAAAAATTTGACATTAGTTACTTTTAAAGTAGACACTACTTATTACAATAGACAACTTACATTTGTTGGTTTATTTCTTTACTTCTCCATACATGCCATCCTATCAGGAACATTATATTTTTCCATCAAAATGGAAAAGTAACTTAATGTCTTTTATGTGATATGTAAGAGAGAAATAAATGATTTTAAAAGAAATATTCCTTTGATTGATTTGTCAGCCTGTACACGAAATACTTCCCTAGTACTTTTGGATAAATATTTTTCCACGAGTCTTCTTGTTGTATAAAAGAGACAAGAGTAAATACTAACAAATTTGTAATACTTAACGGCGTCACACAATAGTGTCCGCTTACATTTCCTAGTGATATACCGTATTGCACAAACCATGTCACAAACAGACAATATGACAATAGAAGGAAAAGCTATAAGAAGTACATGTAGATCAAAATGTCGCTTTGAAACTTCACAATTCAGAATATAGAACACCAAATAATCAATGAAGTGTGTTAATATCTGGACCTATATTGAATGGATTTGGACAACAACACTCATAAGGAATTACTATACCAGAAGAATGTCGATTGCAGCGTCTCGAAAAAGTATTTTACGGGTCTTTTGAAGAACACGTGGAATACCGTGCAAAACATGGGGAATTACAGTAAGAGAGTCTCGCAAAAATATAGCTTACATTTGGTTCTGTGGACCATGATGACTCGATCACAGGATGTAATTGTTGACAAGTAGCTAAGATGATCGACTAAAAGAAGAGAAACGACCGGCTTAGGTAGCCCAAGACATCATCTGATGACATTGCAGTGCCTCTGACGGCAAAGTCTTCGGGTTCGAATCCCGAGATTTTCAGGCTTTTCGGCACTAGCTAGGTTGCTAGAAATACACAAACATCGGAGGTAATACTGAATAAAGAATGTATGAACATTTTATTTTTTCTGATTTCACCGGTTGAGACACCATCCTATTAAACAGAATACGAATTCACAACCAATTTTAACACTATTAATGGTGATAATGATTCAAAATCTTGGATATCGCCGGCCGCCGCCGTCGGCGCTTGCCCGCCCCACCTCCGCCCGCCTCCACCTCTTGCTTCGCCGGCCCCCGCCCGCCTCCTCTCTGCTCGCCCGCCCCCGCCCGCCACCCGTTGCCCGCCGCTCCACTGGCGGCCGCACGGAACGGAAAGGTAGACCGCTCGGGACTCGCCCCGGCTGCAGCCCCTGTGGCGGGCCGGCACCTCTCTGTTTCGGGAGCTGTTTGTGCGCCGCCATCATACACGCGCGCGTGCCTTGGCAGCGCGAATGATTTTCATGCCGCGTTGCACCCCCACCTCCACCCCACCCCACCCCGTCTTCACGTCCACGCCGACTCGGTCGCCCTAGGGGTCCCGCCTTTTTCAGCCATCTGTCCTGGGAATTCCGCCGTTGTCCTCACTTTTCTGCTGCCTCCATCGCTCGACCTCCCCTCACTCCCCGCGCGCCAGACTCGGCGCTTTCCGCTGCGAGGCGAGCGTCGTGTGTCCGTTCCCGCGGTATCCCCCCCTCCACACTTCCCCGGCCTCGACGATTGCCCGCCATAGCATTTTCTGCCCCCTAATTTGGCCGTCATTAAGCGCTGCACAATCCCCTTCTGCAAGATTTCTGCACCCTTCATCGAAATTTCACTTCGCACCACCTCCTTCTCACTGTTTTAAATCTGGTAAAGTTTGTGATAATCCTGTTATTAAGAGTCCGCTTCCCTTCACCTCACTCCCTGTGTAGAATTGGGTTCAAACCCCTCAAAAGGCTTCCTCGAGCCTCACTTTTCGCCACTCCACTTCCCGGTGTTCCTTTCCTCCCCAACTTACTCCCAGTCAACCAACTTCCAATGGCCTCTAGTTGAGCCGCCTCTTCTGTTTGCAGCTCACTGTACAAACATGATTTTTCCTCTCATACCCAATATTTTATTCTCCCCTGTACTTACATCAATTACGCGCCCCCCGGCCAGACGGGCGAACTAGACTAGTGGTGTCCAACATGCTTGGCCGCAAGGGCCACAACCAAAACCTTCAGTACGCTCTGAAGGAGGCCACAATACGCTGGCCGAAACGTTAACCCCCGTGTCAGTGAGGCGGCTCGTCCCTGATAGCCTAGACAACACAAACTCCGGCCGCGGAAGCTTAAGTAACCAAAACCTTGGAGATCGCGGGCCATATTTTCATTACTCGTGCTGCCCACGCCTGAGTTCCTTGTATTGTTGATACCGTGATATGATTTTGAATTTCTAAATTTGCTAAAAAAAGTCATTAAATCTATTAAATGCTCATTATAATGGGATGTTGTCCCGGCCGGTCCCGTGCACTACTACTACAATGTGGTCTCCCGACCGAATTCAATCGAGAGACCACTTCCACGGGCCACAATAAATGTCACCCGTTGGATACCCCTGAAGGAGACTATGGAACAAGCAGCGGTCACCCGCTCGTGCAACCCACCTCCTACGCCAGATCAGTTCGATTGGACAGCGCTTTCTCACGCCCGCCCTTGAACCACCTCCACCCCCTCCTCGCCCCCCGTTCCCGGCCCGCGCCCTCCTCCCCGCAGTCCTTACCTGCACTTTGATCCCCCGTCGCCCTAGTCCGCCCCCGCCCCGCCCCCGCCGGGGGCGCCTCGAATTCCACGCGCGAATTCCTGCGCTGGCCGCACGCCGTCCTTCGTCCGCCCCACTGCGCCGCTCGGACGGCGGCCGCCGCGCACAGCGCAGGGAGCCAGGGCCACCCTCAAATTTCAAGCGCTCTCAGAGATTATATCACGCCTCTCTCGAAAAGTAGAAAATGCCAATTATGCCCGAGCCACTTTCTAACATGAGTGTGAACACAAGTAAGCTACGATATATTCGGAAATTCGACGTGGTGATTATGTTCTTGAGATTAATTTCCATCACTACTCGATCTTACACTTTAATACATAATTTGTTTCATAGATTATTTTTTATTCAATTATTAACACCCAAAACTCTTTTTGTCTTGACATTTTATAATGGCTGGTATAGATTTCTGACACTAGATAAATTATTAACAAAAAGAACTAAGAAAAAAGTTTTTCAGTAACACGAAGCTACATGGTTTCCACCGTCTGAACGTGTTAGAAAAAGTATTTTTTACAGATTAACATAATTTATTCCCATTTTCTTTACCAGTGTCCGGCTATGAGAGTTTTTCTATGAGAGTCACTAATTTCCGGCATACGATTACAATAATTTCTCTTCTTGCGAAGTAAGCTGAGAAAGTAAAAGTATTGCAATTCATTCTGGGACCCGACTCATTGGTTTTGTTGGGTATCGGATATGCAATGGCCATAAAATAGTATCAACTGTTCTCTTTTATACTTTAAATGTCCCCTTTTAGTAATTTTTTAACACTTGTTATATATTTTATATATGAATAAGATCCGCTGAGTTGTATCGTTTATTTAATTTATATTATAAAACGTGAATATCCTTTTTATAGACGCTGACACACGTATAAATATTAGTGGCTGTGTCAGGGACTAAAATAAGAAAAAAGACGCTCAGATCATCTTCATGTGCGTTTTGAGAACGAATCTTTTCACTTGAATCTAAAATGGAGATAAGTAGAGCTGATGTTAGTCTAAATGAAATACAAAACGAAATGTATGTTGTTGCTATTCTCTTCTCATCGGGTGTCCTCCCTTTTACGTGGACATTGTTGGCAACCCCAATTGCGAAATATTCGCACGGGTTCTCATCTGCTCTGAATCTTGCAAGGCCGCGAGTGACCTTTCGGCGTCGCCGGGCAGTGCCCACCGCCCCATAAATCACGACGCGTCCGAACCCGACAAGAAAATTGGGGCGACCTACGCGCGCCCCCGGGCCACGCCCCCCACACACCTCTCCCCCCACCCGCTTCACACTACGAGCGAAACAGAGAAGGGGAAAGAAGAACATATACACACGGATCTTTTACTACATTCTCACACAAAAATTTGTTTTACGTTGTCTTTTTTTTAAATATTTAAGATCGCATGAACATCAAGGTCATTAGCGACGACTTGTTTTTCTTTGTTCGATATCGAAGACAGTTTGTTTCAATCCCATCTTTGGTGGTAAAAGAAACATTTTGCAAAGCTAATCGATTCATGCGGAAAATATGGTGTGCAAAGTTCTTCGCAAGATTGATAAATTCAATTGTCAATTGTCCTCTTATTGGAGAGGCAATTATGTCCGGAATATGTTCCGCACAGTAAATGTTTCCATGATGTAAAACAATACCTTGTAAATATTGCCATGCTGTGGTTCCAACTGAGTAGCAAATATATGATAATTTAATTTATTCATAGAATGGTGTAAGAAAAGCAAGTTAGGGTAACCAGGCGACTCGGGTTCGATTTCTGAAAGAGGTGACAATTCTTTACAAAAAACTATAAATAATATAGGTGTTCATTTCTGTAAATACATTATAATTAATTCATTACAAATGTAAAGCATACAGAAGTAAATGATTTCCCAACTACACTATTTTCCAAGCTTTCAAACTAAAGCTGCACATCCTAAAACCTTCTGGAAAGCTTGCGTATTACCGTTTTCTGGACTATAAAGAGCCGGGAAGGTCGCATACGAAACGCTATTACTAGTGGTGATCTAAAAATAATATTTGTCACTCAAACTTAACGGGAATACTAAATTGCGACCATTACAAAAATGTAGTGGTAAAAAAACTATCTGCAGAAGAAATTGTCGCATTTTTGGGCTAAATTTTTTTTTTTGGCCACAAACGATTTTTTTGTTCTTCAATTAATACTGAAATACGATTTTCTTCTAACTTATTAGCCGAATAATTTCAGGGAAACGAAGATATCGCGAACATAAATGAAAAACGTTTAAGTGGAAAAGTATCTCTATTATTGTTGTTAATTAGTGGTGCAAAAACAACTTCCATGCTTTAAAACCATTAATGAAAATGGCAAATTTGGTAAAATTTGAGAAATTAATTAGAAAATATTCTATTGGTTTATGTATATTTTTTCAAGGAAATTGGGGAATATTTATAGTATTTGTTTATTAGGTTGGTAATCACAAGAGTTTAGGGAGTTTGGTCATGTTAGAAGTAGTTGTACTACAAAGGCAGGTTTATACGTTTGGGGGAAATAATTAGTTGTTAAAGGAGATATTTATTCACTAAGGGCGTCGTAAGGGTTCTAATTACCGAGCGTATGTATGTATATGTATGCAAAAAGCCTGAGGGCCAAACGCTTTGCTTTAACTAATTTTCGACTTTTCGCAATGTGCATTGTGGAAACAGACCATCATCGGAGAGAGGTGCTTATGTTACCAGCATCTGCAGCGACTTTTCTTTAAACGTAGGGTCTAGTTCATGGACAGTGGATGCAAAAAGTCATTAAGGTCATCTATGGGAATATCGAATGAATTGTTATTTGACCTAGCTCTCAAATTCCAACATTTTTCAACGTGTTCCATGCTTCATACAATTTGCTCGAAAAAGATC